TACGTCTCAAGTTATAGGCGGTTATAAAAGTAGCGAACAGACCGACAGACACACCTACCGAAAATGTAACTCATTTCATGGGTTTTTCGTGACGTACATGCGATATAACATCCAAAAAACGGCCTTACAATAGTTCCTCGTCAGTTTTGGCATAGGAAGTAAAAAGCAAAAGCTCATATTGTTGTTCGGGGTCGAAATGGCATAATTCGCATTTTTTTCAAACATTAAATTGCTTATATCTCGAAGACTATCAACTTTAGAGAAGAGGTCATAAAAACCTTATTATTTGTTCAGAGTAACCCAAATAACTTAAAAAGCTTCAGAAAGAAAAAGTATTTGAAATTTGTATAAAAAATTATGTTTGAACAAACGAAGTAAGACATCGTGTTGATTTCTTTAAACAATTTTTGATCCAATTCTAGGCCGGCAGCATGCAGATTCGTTAAAATAGTTCATTTTCTCTGTACGATGTCTGATATCCTGTGAGGATTATTGGACGCACTTGTATTTAATTAAGTCAAAATGTTTCCAAACTCGTGCGAAGAACCCAATGCGTGCGACGTGTATCTGTAGACGCGAACCGTAATAGTATTCGTTTCCTAAACTATAAATAGAAATAAAGTATTCTCAACCACCTGCAGATCCAATTACGCTCCCAAAAATTCCATACTAATGAATATCCACAGATGTTGATTGTACGTAGAATTATAAATAATATTAAAATCATATCATAACACTATTATATTAACACAAACGGTTAATAAACATTATGAAACTATTCTCATAACTGTAGTTTATTTATAAAAACTTTGCGCAATGTACATGTCGAGAGGAAATATATTAAATGCTGTCTGCTCCAATTTTCACGGAAAGCAAAACAGTCGCAGTTGACATAAAATCCTGGGTTTTCTACCACAATTTACAATGTTTGATTCTTGTAAATAGTGTTGTTATCGCACAATTTGATAAGACCTGATGTTATCTATAACAATATGCTATTGTTTCCCTAGGTATGCATTTTTATGCAACGTGTTAAACGATTACCTTATTATGCAGTTTTCGGCGGTTTTTTGCAGGAGGTATTCGACTGAAGCCTTTGATGTGGCACCCGCAGCCCTTAAAACTTACTGACAATGGCTTTTTTGTATTTAACAGAACCCAATCCAGTATTCCTGAATTCGTTCTTAATTGCTCTCCCTGCTGGTACTTATTGCATGAAAGTCCATGTATTAGTTTCTACTTACGTTCTTAACCTCCCTCAGCTGGTTGAAACAATTGTTTGATCATCACTGATTGACATCTGTCTCCAAGATGATACTTTTGATTTCAATAACTGCTGATATGCACTATTATAAATCTCAATAAATTAAAAGATGCTGTATTTGCATTGTCAACGCAAAATGATATAATCATTGCATGGATACCACAAAGGCAAAACGTTGCTTATTGGAACTAAAACACATAATTATATTTTTTTCGAAGCCTTTGAAATGAGATTAGGTCACAGTTTTCAAATAGGTAATCGTTATTCAACTTTATTCCTAACGTTATCTATTTTACGCACTTCTTTATTTGACTTGTAGTTAAGCAGAATAGATTCATTAAAACGCTCGTCGCTTATCAAAATATTATGTTATTTGTATTCCAGAAGATTCTATATTCATAAGATCACAATGCACAATTCACAATTACTGGAATATGATAAAAATCCGGAGTTAGCCAGATACATCTGTATGCTACTTGTGTTGTTGATTGCTAATTGTAATTGGCTGTAATAATAATTGTTGGACTTAATGATATGCATGCTGTAATCGATAGAAATAGATGTCATGTGATATAAAGTTGAGTAATGTATCTTCTGTATAGCATGGTAATTCATCAGAGGAAGGCAACGTATTTGTATATCCCGTGGCCATATCGTGAGATGAACCACTTCACGAATGATCGATTATTTCCGAAATGGACACATTTCATGAAAGGTATCATCTATTGGCCAGATCATGACGTGCGTTGACCAGAACAATGATCAACAAATCAGTTACTATATGATTAGCTAAACGCCCGGCTACTTCGTGAATGTTCAAGCATTTTTGGATCAAATCGTGAAATTAATTACAGTGCTTACCGATAGAGGCGCTAAGAGCGCTTTGTTTAATAACCAAAGTTGTTTTTCGAAGTGAACATTCTAATAATTTGTTACTGAATGAGGAACAAAGTAGGATCAAAATACACTACGACAAAAAGGTACTCGAGTCACGCAAATATCAATCAAAACATAAAAAAGGAGGAGGTCGGAAAGTGTTTCACAAGTTAGTATTTCACACTTAAATTAGATCGTTATTTACTTATTTGAAGTGAAAATCGTGTGCCAGCTAAAATGCTGCACCACAAGAGGTGATAACTTAGTTTGCGATATTTGTTATCTTTAAAATTTAGTTTGTGACAGGTTGTTCAATTTAAGATTGTTCTAATACAATTAGTTTGTTTTAATTTCCTAAAGTTCCTAGTTTAATAAAAATGTTTGTCGTACTTAAAGAGCAATAAATGAGGGTCCTAACATACTCTCGATTTTGATTAAATGTTTTATGGACATCCTATTTTACGATATATACTAAGTGACATATAAATCCGAACACCCAGTTTAAATGGTTTTATTTGATAAAAGTTGGTGAATGTATTTATCTTACTGTAAATAACAAGTGAAAAAATGTTCAGCCTTATCAGTTGGACATTCCGGTTTTTATACTGCTTTTTTTTTAATTCACTAACGCTCTAAAAATGAATATTTCAGCCGCAGTAAAGAATCAACGTTGGCGGATTTTGGTTCTTGACATCCTTTACGATCGGTTACGATGCCTAGAGTACGGAGACCTGTACGATTTCGTCAACTTAGTGAGTTTGATAGGGGCCGTATAGTGGTACTTCGGGAAGCTGGACTTCTTTTCGGGCAATTGCAGTTAGAGTGCAAAGAAGTGTAGACACTGTGGTTAGGTGTTGTCAGGCATGGCTTCGAGAAGGCCGTACGCAAAGAGCAAGGGGCACTGGACGCCGCCGTTGAACAACAGACCGTGAAGATCGCCGCCTAAGATTATTGGCCTTAAGGGACCGTTTCTCCACTACCAGGTCCATTGCAAATGAATGGTTTGCAGAACACGGAAGACCTATTGGCATGCGAAGTGTTTACCGACGAATGAGAAGCTTTGGCTTGTTTTCATACCGGCCACACTGGGTCCTCCCTTTAACTCTAGAACACCGACGTAATCGCCTTGAGTGGTGCAGACAACGGTCACTCTGGGATCAGGAATGGAACAGTATTGTCTTTAGTGACGAGTCTCGATTTTGTTTAGGCATGCACGATGGTCGTGCCAGGGTTAGAAGGCGACGTGGTGAAAGGAGGAATCCACAGTTTTTTGTTGAAAGACATGTTCATCACACTGTTGGAGTTATGGTTTAGTGTGCTATAGCTTATGGTTCCAGGTCACCTTTACCTTGACACCCTGGCAGATCCAACTTTCCAACAAGATAATGCCCGACCACATGTTGCAAGAGTCACAATAGACTTCTTTCAACATAATGATGTCACATTGTTACCATGGCCACCAAGATCTCCCGACTTATCCCCAATTCAGCACGTGTGGGATATGATGGGTAGGAGATTGCTCAATTTGCAACGTTCTCCTCAGACTCTAGAAGCACTTCGAGAGGAGTTGGTGGTTGCCTGGAATGAGATACCACAGGAGGACATTGACCCACCTGATCAGAAGCATGCCTAGGCGCGTTGGAGAATGCGTAGCACATCAGGGTGCATCCACACATTATTAAAGGTCAAAGGGCTTTAAAGCAGTGCAATCATTTTGAAATTTTTATCATTTACTTATTATGGTTCATTAAGTACTTATACAAAATTTTATTAAAATAAAACTATTTAAACTGGGTGTTCGGATTTATATGTCACTTAGTATAGTAAATCGTGGACGATCAAATCGTAAACGTTGACGATTTAACGATATGGTCAATTCTAGTTGGCCATTTCATGGAATGCGATATTTCATGAAATGATCAATTCTGCGATATGACCAGAACATATATACACATATGCATTTTGACAAGGACATAAAAAGGCTATTGGAAATTAGTATAGTTTTCTTTGAAAACCGAAAGCAAACACGAGGGGCATAGTCTTTTGAAAAACTCAAAATACTGTGCGGTTCATCTGCCTCCTGGACTACTAGACATATTCCGCAATCATTAGTTGCTAATGAGCACGAAACAGTGCTGAAAACAAATATGTCCATTTCAACTGTGTCTGTTTATGCATATATGCATCGAAATCCATTGTCGGCTCTGTGAATACGTCGATCAGTTATGAGCCAGAGGCGTAGGGGTCATCCGTCATTTTCATCGTATGGGATGAGGATGACTGTGGTAGGTGGAGACCTTCTCACCTACTTTCGCACATATAAGGTGTTGTTGCATTTGTCACGGATGGCACTGGGTATATTAAAATTTCATTAGATCAGAAAATTACTGCTTCACAATTTTTATTTCAAGGGCAGAGCTTGAACGGCTTGATAGACTTTGACGTATGCGGTGTATCTAGATTTTTCTTGAGAGTGCGAGTGCCACTGGTTATATTGGAGACATGTCCTGTTCCCGCAAAACCACCTGTCTTTCACTGGATATAACTTTAAGATTTCTATTACAGACCAGACGGTTTGATGAATTTTTGACATTGAGTTGACCTTAGATTCGTCTTGATAGCACAATTAAAATTTAACACAGTACTTGTTCATTGTTTTTGTTCGGAGGCATACAGTTTTTTGACATCACTAATTGACATGTTTTTGATGGCAGATAACATCGAAGACAAGTTAAGTGCTTTCTCTGTCTTTAGGCCACTCCGGTTTTAAAAAACATTCAAACATCAGTTAGATAAAGATATCTTAGCCAAAAACATTTTGGGTTCGTATACATCTCCTAATTTTACGTCTTCCTTCCAGGTGCCATTAAAGGACCAGCATCTTTCATGTGACTTTGAACTTCACTGATCACCATGTCGAAGAAGCTGTCCTCGTTCATCATGAATAACCTCCTAACTATCCTCACCGTAATAGGTGTAGTGGGAGGAGCCGTAACGGGAATAATTATTCGATCCAGCACTCCTGGAAGCTGGACTAAGAGAGATGTCATGTACCTGGCATTCCCTGGAGAGCTGTTCCTCAGATGTTGAAGGCTCTGATTATTCCACTTCTGATGTCGTCGGTGATACACGCCATCGGGTCGCTTGATCTCAGTTTGTCTAAGAAGATTGCTATAAGGTATGTGCATATCCACACAGTAACATGTAGCAATAACATGGAAATCCTCGCCACAATAAATTCTGATAATTGCTGGACGTGGACAAATTATATACTCAGTGGCATAAAGTACACAAACTGAAAATTATATTATTTGAATGGAATGGAATTTTGTCTACAGGTTGACATGAGCAAAATGGAGTAATGGTTCGATTAAGTAAAAACATTTACTGTATCGCGACGGCAGAAAATTAGTTTACATTCAGAGACAGAGAACACTTTTTTCTGATATCTAATATTAACAAGCGTACGTTGAAGGAGGTGATCGAAATTTACAGTACTTTTTTCCAAGGAAAACAAGTGGGAAACAGGCGGCCAAGAAGCAAGATACTTTTTCCAGATTGACAGATGATAGACCTGGAGATGATGCAGAGTTAAATATAAGGAAGTTGCTGTCTTTAAACGTCGCATCGTCACCTGAGTTAAAATAAAACGTTCACGATATATATTGACGTTAACTGAAAACTTCAACGACTTATTCTTCTGCATAGTTATGATAAAGAAATTGCACTAAAATATATGAATCTTGAAAAAGTGTTTAAAATAAATTGAATATTTTCAATAGCGGTTGGGTAAACAAGAAAATATGCTTTTCGTTAATATTTATTTAGGTTTTCAGCACTTTATCATCTGTTAACTAATATTCCTTACTTTGTATAAAGCTGAATCCTGAAAATCGCATCTCTTCTAGGAGCATACTAAGAACACGTCTTAAAGATGTTTGTTTTATGTTGTGTCGGGATGTGCGTAAAA